GCTCTGACGTGAGGGTTAAACGACAGGAACATCTAAAGAACGGCTTAATCGATCGTGTTGCATATGTTTACATCTTGCATAGAACTAGAAGTCAGGAAAAGTGAGACCGCAACGATCAACGAATTCGCGCAGCAGAAATGTTTCACTTCGCCCCCACTCGTACTTCTCACAGACAACAACTTCTTGCGAATCGAAACACGGCGGACGTCAACAAGTAGACCAACCTGCAATGTAGATGGACAAGACAGGCAGATCTGAAATTGAAAAGCAACTGTTCCTGCGACAAAATACCATTCGCCTGTATCAATTAGCCTCGAAACACAAGGAGACTTGCCAGTCCTGGTTACCATCAGCTCGTCAACTGATCGTTTCTGGTTCTTGACAACCCTTAACAAATGTCATAGCAGTCAAGAAGAAGGTTTTCCATAGTATTTCGTCCACAGAAGCGATTCCTAGTCTAGTCGTTGCCTGCTTTCCACTTCGTTGCACTGAAGCTAAATTAATAGACAACGGCAGTGTTATAATAAAATTTCTATTACAGGCTGCTGTCCGTAATCGAGTTCAGGATTTTCGTCGCGGACAGCGGGCAACAACCAAATATGGAATCACATGACAGAATGAAACAAAGTAACGTTCAGCCGCTGCTGTAGTCGAGACATCTGTAGAGCTCAGGTCTGACTGGAAAAAATGCTCCACTACGATCTCGGCGGAACTACTGAGAACTACCGTTATTATTAATTAAGAAAGAAGGCATTAAAACACGATTCCATCATGAAGTCAGAATGATGACCTCAACCCTATAAGCAGAGAATGATGCCATATGGACAAGAAGGATTCAAGATCCAGAAAATACTTGAATGATAAAGGAAAGAAGTAAAAGTAGCTTCCCTCAAAAACTGAAGGTTCTTGAGTAGGAAATTCTGTTGAAAAACAGCATCTGAAATATTCGTTTCGTCACATCCCAGGACAGGTACAGGTATGAAATCTCGCAACTACATTATCTGTCATTGTTATGGTAACATGCACCTCTGTTACGACAGCCTTAGTGAAACCAAAACTCTTCGACGAATACTAAAAGCAAGAGAAGCGGAGACAAGTCTAGTGGCGTCAAGATGAAATGGTGATAATTACAACCAAAAATGCTTGTGCCTAAAACAATCTTACGGACTGAATTTTGCAAAAATTTTCACTGAATCTGGAGTCAGAACTTTCTTGTGCTAGGCGATGATGAAGGCCACCATTTGCGCACTATAGCTAAAAGCACAATGGACATCAGGTACAGAATCTCACTCTGAAAACCCCTTATGACAACTTACGATCATCTCCAAAGTTATGATTATCTCCAATGTTACGATAATTTAAGCGCTACCGTCTTCTGTCGAGAAACCACATATTCCCTGATGGAATTCATGACCATTAAAATACACGCCGCCAGCGGTACCTTTTCCGACGACAATATCTACAGTCCAACTAACTTTTTCGCTATTAGTGCAAAGCCCGGATGAGAAAGGAGGGCCGTTGAGGACCATGGCCAGGCCACCCATAAAACCTACCCACATGCCCTCATGGTAATGCCGTCATCGAACATTTTACCGGCTCGGTCGTCACCCGGTTACCAAGAACCGCACACGCTGTTTGGGGATTGAGCTAGACCTCAAAAAATATGTGATAAGAAGCTGCTTTACGGCTTCTAGCTTTCGGAGATGTAGCAACACAGCCTCGCCTGCCGAACATAGACAAGAAGACGAAGATATCAATCATCAACGGAGCCACTACCCGTTCTGAACGGAGGCGGACAGCGCGACGCCATTACAGCACGTCAAATAAGGCTCCACGGGAATGATGCCGAAGCTTACAGTCGGAAACTGGAACCTATCCTCAGTCAGAAGGAAAGAGCGGGAGCTAGCCGATGACGCTGAAAAGCACTGACTGGACATAGCTGGACAATAACCAAAGAAGCGCTCTTGCGAGAGGAAGCTACAGCAATCAGGTGTCAAATTTACAACCCATGCTCAAGCCAGTATTAGTGTTACAGTAGAATCCAACCTGGCTGACAGAATCATTCAATGGAAGTGGAAGCGAAAAAGTGACAATCTCACTGTAGCTGCAACGGGTGCTAACAAAGAAATCCGCCATTTTAATCAGCGATTTCAATGCGCATGTCAGAGCAGACATCGAAAGGCGGAAAGACATGACTGGAAAGAACAACCCTAGTGACCTCAACAATAACAGCATGAAGTTGTTGCAAGCAACAGACTGTTATAAACACTTTTTTGGAGCATCGAAGCATGCATCAGTATACCTGGTATAAGGATACAGATTTAATAATCGTATCGTTTGACTCACGACGCTCTGCAATGGATGCTCGCGTTTAAAAGAGGCGCAGAGCTGTCAACCGATCGTCACATTGCTGTTAGCACGCTAGCTGTGAGAAATGGAGTAACAAGCGACGATCTTGTGGCAAAAGCAACCAGAGAACCAAATGGAAAACACTGACTATGGCGGATACGAAGACTAAACTTACGAACAACATCGCATGACGGCTTGAACAGATCGGATGTCGTGAAAACCGAGTGGAAACTGCTGAAAGGCCGCTAACCAACAGCTGCCGCCAAATACAGCGGCTTAAAAGGGATTGGCCTTCCGCCTGATGGTCAGAGACAAACTTCCTAGTCGACATCAGAGGTTCAGCTGACTGTCACCGAGAACAAGGCTCTACTCAAGAGGAAACATGAAGGCAAAGAACTTTCAATTGGAATGCGGCACAGAGAAGCGCGAAAGGTGGCAGCAAAAGCAGTGACCAAAGCTAAAGTTAATTCTTGGAAAAAGTTCGGGCAGGTAACAGAGGCAAATTTCAAGACTGCAAATGAGATATTTTGGCACACAACCGGCAGCCTCAGGGATGGAAAGCAGGGCAGACTGTCTTGAAAATAAGTCCAGACGCTTTCTGACCAAGGAAAGCGATATACCTAAGCGACGGGAAGAGTACTTTAACGAACTCCTGTTCCTAATCAATCGCAAGAAAAGTTGCCTGGAGAGCAGCAGGGAACGGGTATTAGTCTTTCCGTAGATAAAATCGCACAGGCTATGAAAAGCTTGAAAAGTGCAAAGGCAGAGGCCATTTCAACCGATGAAATCCCACCAGTTTACAGTAGAACGGTTGTTGTAGTACCCTGTTTAAAAAGAGAGACCATAGGAAAGCTCAACGTATCAGGGAATTACTTTACTGAGACTCCCAAGAAAAGCCTCCGCAAATGAGTCAGAAACGAGGTATCGAGTAATAACTGACTCAAACTCAACGAAGAGCAGAGTGGCACCAGGTCAGGTGGAAAATACTCTGCCCAGATCTTCATTTTATGCAGGAGTGTTGAGAAATCGTGGGAGTTCGCCCCTCCGATTTACATGTGCTTTGTTGACCTAGATAGTTTATGAAAAGAATAGGGCAACAATCTATGGGCACGACGCGAAGATATGGGATCGATAGCCAGTGCTACGGGCCATCCAATAACTGTATGCTGATAGCTGGCGCTGCGTCAGAGTAAATCCCTTTATAAATTAAAACCTTTCAGCGCTGGCATTGGTCAGCACCAAGGCTGCCTTCTGCCCTGTGTGTGTTGCACATGGTTACAATAGTTAGGCGCAGTCAAGGCAATGAGTGTATCGGTGTAGGAGATATTGTGACGAGAAGTTTGCCGTTAGCAGAAGACCTTGTTTTATTAGCACCTTCTGAAACCGATCTTCAGTGCTCCCTAGAAAGGTTCGCAATCGAGTGCGACGTGACCGGCTTGCGTGTGAACACATCTAAAACGAAAAGCCTAGTGCTTTCTCGTTCTCCTGCCCGTTGCTCTCTTCAGAT